GTAGTCAGTAGTTTTGCACTTTGGTGCATTTTAGTTACAATTATAATTTTCTGCCTAAAACGGTCAGTGTTGTGCCTCTCGGGTTGCTAGGCAACAGCATTTGTTGCATTTTTCAAACAGGAAGTGGGAGTGGAGTAATACTCTGGTAGGGGGTAACTTGCTCTTTAAAGTCGCCACATTTTCCTGTCAAATCACAAAGTTTGTGTAGACATGAACTTATGAGTTTCAGGTTCCTCGTGTGCGTAACCCAGAACGCAGCAGAGCTACGGTTCAGTCTCAACCCCAGCAGGACGTAAAACGATCAGACTGCATCTGTTCAGCACAAGAAGACTCCATCACGCCACTTTTTCATTAATAATGTAATGAACAAATGAATTTACCGCTAGATGAGAGCTGTTCTCAGAAACTTCAGGTGAGATTTAAAGAGAGATGATTTAGAGATCATAAATAATCTTCTTCTTATAGATAATGTTCTTATAAAAGCATTTTCTCTGTTATCCTGCTGCCTCCTTCACCAGCAGCTCTGTATTCATCGTGCTGATGTCCTCTGCCAGCCCTCCTCCGCTCCATCAGACCAGAGAAGAGACCGCTACAGCTTGTGTCCCGTTGAACACACACACACACAGATGAAAACCACTGTTTATTATTGTAATCTGTCTCGTTTCATAATGTTAACAGAAACACTTCAGGGTCCACGCCCGAGTCAGCAACGTCAGATCCATCAGCGGTGGTTTCAGAACAACAAGGAGTAATCGTGTTGTTCTGCAGAAAACTGTTCATGTGAAGGAAGTCAGGAACTTCCTGCTGTTTTATTAAAAAGCTACTCTGTCATGAAACACAAGAGGAAGTGATGAGAAACGTTAAAGCCACCTGTTCTCCTCTCGACGGAGCCGAGAGCCAAACACTCAGCCCATAAGACTCAAGTTTAGCTAGCGTTAGCTCAGCTGTGAAATGGAAAATGACCTAAAATTAAAAATAAACAGGAAATGGTAACAGGATGACACCCGCTGTGGTGTTTGGGTCCCTGAGGGAGTCAGTTTTGGGTTTAGCGACTAGCGAGACGTTCTGCCTGGAGGTCCTGAGAGGACAGGAAGTTCTCCTCCCACCAAAGCACGCTCTCTCGCCTGCTTCTAACGAGATGTGAAGTTTTTAAAAGCTTTCAGCGTTTTCCTCTTGAGACTGGCTTTGTGGTGGTGCTTCATTTTACATGTGTGTGTGTGGGGGGGGGGGGGGGGGTACTCTGAGTCTGTTTGTGTTTTTGACATCTCTGTACGTCGTCCTATCGATCACATGCTTTCATCCACCTCACTCAAATCAGGTTTTCTGGCGTTTATAAATCATCGTGTGAATTTGAGCCCCGGCAGGAAAACCTGGACTGCTGTTCTAAACAGACACGGACAACCGGTCGGTTCCCTTCGGTCAACGAAAGGAAATCCCACAACGGTCTCAGCAATAACTTGAATCTGACTAAAGTAATAATAAATACAAATTCCATGAAGGTGAACCAGTAAAAGTCAGACGTGGCTTTTTATTCGTGCTTCAGCTGAATGATTTAAAAATAAACGGGTGGAACAGGCCAGGACTAAAAAGATGGCACCCCTCGAGAAGACTGGAAATGATGCAGCCAAAGGGGCGTGTTCCTTCAGGCGTGTCCACTAACGAGCATCACGGCGGGCCTGTATAGAGGTAGTCACTGTGGTGTTGGGTGGCGTGGTGTGTACCACACTCAGCATGGACCAGAGGACGTGACGGGAAGAGTGTAGACCAGCATGTTAAAGGTAACAGCTGTGGGACCATCTCCGAGCAGCTAGATGTTCCTGTGGCTACAGCTGCTCGTGTCATTCAGACCTTTCAGATCCACGGGACTGTAGCCCACCTCCCTGGACGTGACCGCAGGAGGAACACTGATGACCAATCACAGACGGATAATCTGAATGGTCACAGAGGAGCCCAGAAAACTTCTAAAGAGATCCGAGGTAAGCTTCAAGCTCGAGGAACATCAGTGTCAGGTGGCGCCATCCGTCGTTGCTTGAGCCAAAGTGGACTACGTGGGAGACGACCAAGGAGGACACCATTGTTGAAAACCAGATGGGAAAATGCCAAACTCCATGCTAACAAGCCACAAAGCTTCTGGGAGAACGTCCTATGGACACCAGACAAAAATGGCACAGCAGCTCTACGTCCACAGACAGAAAACGAAGCATATCGAGAGAGGAACACTTTCCTCACTGTGAAACATGGAGGAGGCACTGTTATGTTCTGGGCCGCTTTGCTGCATCAGGCACAGGGTGTCTTGAATCTGTGCAGGGTACGATGAAATCTCAAGACTTTCAAGGGATTCTAGAGAGAAATGTGCTGGCCAGTGTCAGAGAGCTTGGTCTCAGGGGCAGGTCACGGGGTCATGGGTCATGAGACAGGACTAGACCCAAAGCACACGGCTAAAGACACCCACGAACGGCTCAGAGGAGAACATCAGACTGCTCTGAAGTGGCCCTGACCTCAGTCCTATCGAGCATCTTTGGAAGGAGCTGAAACAGGCCGTCTGGAAGACCTGAGACAACTGGAGCTGTTCGCTCATGAGGATTGGGCCAAAATACCTGCTGAGAGGTGCAGAAGTCTCACCGACAGCTACAGGAACCGTTTGATTGCCTCAAAAGGTTGTGCAACAAAATATGAAGTTAGGGTGCCGTCATTTAAGTCCTGGCCTGTTCCACCCGTTTAGTTTTAAATAGTTCAGCTGAAGCAAGACTGGAAATCCTCGCCTGACTTATACTGGTTCAGTTTCATAGAATTTGTATTTATTACTACTTTGGTCAGATTCCAGTTATTTCTGAGACCGTTGTGGGATTTCCTTCCGTTGACCGAAGGGAACCGACAGTTTGTCCGTGTCTGTAAAAATTAAATGGGTAGTGGCTCAGATGGAAGAGCTGAGGTTGGTGGTTCAAAGCCTGCACCCACGTGCACCCAGCCACACTTCCATCCCATCCGTCACCTGGGTGGGTGTGTGTGTGTGAGCTGCTGAATGTGAGACTAGAGAGATGAACACATGACAGAGCCTGGATGGTTGTGCTTTAAGAGAGAGGTTCGTACACTCGTCTCATTTCATTTTTAAACGTAATTCTATACAAACGGCGTATCTGAAGGTTTCAGAAGAACTAGATCGTAAAGACTGGGGTGTGACTCCGTAAGCCTGTTCCATCAGGTGTCCATGGTTCCTAAAGAGAACAGAACGTAACCAGCAGATTAAAACTGATAATAAAGAACCTCGCTTCAGAAACCCGAGCGAGAAGACAACCTTCTCCAGGTGCACCTGTCACACCTGAACGAGCACGATGGCTCCTCACACCCATGTTTCCTCATCACATCGCCTGGGTTCTGAAGCCTTAGCCTTCAGAACTGGTAGGTAAGCAGACCTCAGAGCCCTGGTGCCATGCTACAGAGATGAGCATGAAGTCATTTTCAACATGATAGCCACACATCTACATGAAGTGCTTCATTTAAACGCTGTGAGGACACGTCCCTCTTAGGTCCAGCGTCGGATTCATGAATCAGCCATGAACCAATCGCTGCTCTCAGCTCGGCGGGGAAAGTGAAGCCGCTCATGCAGGTCGTTTGTTTAAGAGCCAGGTTGTTCAGATAACAGCACCAATCAGGTCTCCAGCCTCAGCCTGAAGTACGTCTCCAGGCATGATCAGCTGTGGGCTGACTTTCCCTTGGTGCGGCTGAGAACTGGCATCCCAGTCCTGGAGCTGTTGGCGCCATGACGGTGCACTCCACCAACGCCGTTAGCTCTCGAGAGGAAACGGCGGCACCTTAAACAACCCAACAGCTGAACGTGGACGCAGGACATGGATATGAGATTGGGTCAAGGTCACGGGACAACAGGGCAGCAGAAGCTCCGAGGCCAGAGCGCAGGGTTGCCAGGTCAATCCCAGCCCCTTCCAGGGAATTCTGATGTTGTGTCCTTGGACAAGAAACTTCCTCCAACTTGTCTATGTTGATGGTGGTTAGAGGGGCTGATGAGGCAGACGGGCAGCCTCGCCTCTGTCAGAGCACCCCAGGACGGCTGTGGCTACGAGGTAGTTCATCATCACCAGCAGTGTGAGTGGATGAATTATGTAAAGCAGTTCGGGTGCCTTAAAGGAATCATGTCCATTAAACATGTGTGTGTGTGTGTGTGTGTGTGTGTGTGTGTGTGTGTGTGTGTGTGTGTGTGTGTGTGTCTGAGAGAGAGAGAGAGAGAGAGAGAGAGAGAGAGAGAGAGAGAGAGAGAGAGAGAGAGAGAGAGAGAGAGAGAGAGAGTCTTGTTGCAATAAGGTGTCATGATCACCCCGCAAACACAAACACACACACACACACACACACACACACACACACACTTATGTAGGTGCGAAGGCTTCTGTGTGTCCCTCCCTGACCACCGAATCCGGACTTGGGTAACAGTTCGGTTTTCCAGGCTTTCCATTAGGATCAGGAAAAGATTGTCCTTTTGGGAATTCAAACACACCTTATGGCGGCGTTATTATGGGATTTAGAGGCGCGCGCGTGCGTGTGTGTGTTTGCGGGGACAGACTGTACAGGACCGGTCTATGAGCACGCAGTCTGTGGCGCAAACAGCGCTCAGCCGCACCAACACTGCGGCTCGAACCGAGCCGAGCCCGGCCCAAATGTTCCGACCCTGAATCCCAGCGCGGTTGAGCGGATGCTGGCTGCAGGCAGCAGCTGCGGCTCGGACAAGACAAAGCCGGACAACAAGCAGCGACGGCGGCCCAGCAGACACGGAACCAGCGGTCCGCGTCGGGCCAGGGGCGGGAAATGACGTGAAGCCGCCTCTGCTCCGCAGTAACGGTGACTTTCAGGCGTCCGGAAGCTGCTCGCGGCTTCACGGGATATTAGACTCTCCGACATTTTGTCTCACGGTTCCGCCTTTGCTCGTTCATCAGAAACAAACACGCGCACATTTCTTTTCTCACAGCGACCCAAACAATCACCACTCTTACCCGGGCCGCCATCTTCAGGTTCACGGTAGAGCAGGGACGCGGCTCGGCTCGATGATTCACCGGACGAAGGGCGAACGGCTCGACGGCTGCTCGGTTTATATGCTGCGGCGCATCGCGCTCTGATTGGCTGGTCCCAGCGGAAGCTTGCTGACGAGTGAGTCTGTGGTGGTGTTCAGGGGGATTTCACGATCACTTGTTTTCTCGCCAATTGCAGTCACGTGACGTTTGACAGACGGCAGCTGGAAGTGGAACGACTGCAGAAACGCGCGTTTTACCGAGCTGCTGCTGACTCCGACAACAGATCCACCCCGTTACTGATGAGTCAGCGATCATGGGTCTACACCTGAGCTCCAGGCAGTTAAAGGTGAAGGGTCTGAATGTGTCAGCACCGCGGACAGCTCCTCAGCCTCATCCAGTTGTGGCTGAGATCAGCACCATGGACAGCAGCAGCCGCTTGTAGCGAATAATGGTTATAAAGAAGAAGAAAATATCTTTTCCATAGCGCCTCTCGAGATAAAAATCACGAGGCGCTTCACAAAAACAAAAATTCAAATATCAATGTTATTAATTCAGCCTAAAATTATTATTTTATTATTATTATTAATTCACCAGTTGGACAGGCTGGCCACACTTGTACTCTGCCTGACCCAGATCAGTAACTGGCTGTCCAGCAACTTCCTAGTCCTCAATGCTAACAAGACAGAGACCCTGATCGCTGCTCCCCCGGAACTTCAGCCACAAATCGAGCAAGAAATTGCCTCTTTTTGCCCATCAGCCAAGGCCAACATTAGAAACCTGGGAGTTATTTTTGATCCAGCTTTAAGTTTAGACTCACACGTCAAAACCATCTCCCGCTCTTGTTTCTTTCAACTGAGAAACATTTCAAAAGTCCGTAAACTGGTTTCTACTGCAGATCTGGAAAAAATCATCCATGCCTTTGTGTCATCACGCTTAGACTACTGTAACGCTCTTTTTACTGGTCTCAGCAACACCTCCCTCTCACGCCTTCAAGCCATCCAAAATGCAGCAGCCAGACTCCTAACCAAATCCAGCAGACGAGCTCACATCACTCCAGGTTTACAGTCCCTCCACTGGCTCCCGGTAGAATATAGAATACAGTTTAAAGTTTTAGTCCTGACCTATAGAGCTCTTAACAACCAGGCTCCAAGCTACCTATCTGAGCTTTTATCTCCACACACCACCTCTCGGAACCTCAGATCCACATCTGAAAACCTCCTGGCTGTTCCTCGAACCAGACTGAAAACCAAAGGGGACAGGGCCTTTCAGACTATTGCACCCAGACTTTGGAACAGTCTACCTTCAAATCTCCGTCTCTCTAACACTGTAGAGGTCTTTAAAAACCATCTAAAAACTCACCTTTTCATCCAGGCGTTTCCTCCCTAAATGTTTCAGAATGATGGCTTTGTTCAGGTTCACACCTTCACTTTGTTTATACTCATGATTTTATTTTCTACGTTTATCACTGCTATTGTTTTTCTGATGTTTTTATTGGTTAGAAATTTGCCCTGATCTTTATCATGTTGTACAGCGCTGTGTGATTTATATCTGAGAAAGGCGCTCTATAAATAAACTTTTACTTACTTACTAAAAGGTGACACTAACCTGTGAGACGGACTCCTTCCAGGCAAATCCAGATGTGTCCGCCCGTTTCTGTCCCAGCGGTGGTGGCGATGGTTACGGCTGATGAAATCATCACATTCAGAATCTCAGACAATCAGAATGTTGGGTAAAGCTTCAATATTCTAAACTCAAAGTGTCTCTGATCAGCCGATGAGACCTGCTGAGGGTTCCTGAGCCTTTAGATGGTCTCTCAGTCTGAGCTGGATTTTTGACATTAATGGACTTTTGTACCAGATTCTAGTTTTTACTGTTTCACCTGTGACACACCTACCCTGTTATTATTGCTGCTTATCTATCATATTTAGCTATTTATTCATGTTTCTAAAACTGTTTTTCATTTCAGAAAAGATCAAATACTGACTAGACCTGCCCTGCTTTGGTTTCTATTACACGTACGTTGAATTTAAAACACCGCAGTCTGACCTGGAAGTGTTTCTGAAACAACTCGACAGATAAACAGGACACACGGACAGACTTTGTTAGACATTTCTTCATCTGAGACTAAACCTGCTGTGGCTCCTGAACTGTGGAGCCGCATGTCTGGACTGGACCGGCTCCCCGTGCGGCTCCTTTTTAACATTTAACATCCTTTAAAAGCTCACTGGCAGGTTATTTGTTGCTTTTACCGTTTCAGGGAAAACACGTCGGACGTTACACGTATTCTTGTCATGTTGAGGGTGTGGAGATGATGGACCATGTGTGGTGGAGGCTTCAGGAGGCAGGAGAGCAGGCACGGATGAAAAATAAAAATGGTTTTAATGGTGGGATGGGAACGACAGGAACGAAACAACAATGATCTGACAAAGACTGGCACAAGGAGGGAGGTATAACTACACAGGGAAATCAGGAACACATGGGCAGGCTAACGAGGGGCAGGTGAGAACAATAAGGGCTAATCAGGGCAGGAGAGGAACACAGTCAGGAAGGCAGGGGCAGAACGTGACAATTCTAACATCGTCTGACCGATCTGCTGCTCTTCCACACGACAAATTCACAATAAAGTAAAAATTGGGGTGCAAATTTAAAACTTAAGAAAATAAATCACATTGATGGTTCTTTTTAAAAATTATTTTTGCAGGAATAAAAACTGTGAAGGTCAGAGGTCACCGGAGTCCCACAGCCACATCTGTAGAGTAGGTTCTGGGGGTTGTTTTGTGTTTAGGATGCTCTGTGGTTCACGCCAGCTGAGCTGAGAGCGACTCTGTGCTTCCTGGAGCGTCTCCGGTGACGTGGATCGGCTCGTTGGGCTCTTCCTGTCTTCCCTGCGGCTCAGCAGGGTCAGAGCGTCTCTCTTGTGTCTCTGAGTGGAGTGGACATCTTCTGTCCTGCAGCGCGTGTGTGCAGAAGGCAGCCATGTTAAACAGCGCTGCCCTCACAGAGACGCTGGTTCCCATCATGTGATGAAATCGGTCCCGACTTTACCAGAAAACCTAAACATCGCCTATGTTGACCCACAGCAGAGAAGGCTGTGGTTGGTTTAGCGTCCAGGAAGTGTCTCGGCTAGTAGAAGCTAACATTAGCATTAGCAACTCCACCACACAGCAGAACTCCTCCTGGCTTGTGGTTTTTGTGGAGATGAAACATCAACGTTGCAGAGCAGAGTCAGTGGTAGAGTTGTGTTGCTGTTAGCCAATCAGAGGAGAGATGTCCACATATCAGGAAATAAGACTCTAAATCCTGAAGCTACTTTCTCTTCTGGCTAAATTCTCCATGCTGAAACAGATGCGCCGGAGCTTTTTTTCCCCAGACTTCCTGGAGTTAACCCAGACACAACAAAACCTTTGTGATAATTATTCAGAACCTAGACACCTCCTTTCTCCATGGTCAGATTTGTGTTTGGGCTGCAGATAGTTCGGGATCACAGCAAGAAGTTAGACACAAACAGCTGAGCTGTCAGAAACACTTTTGGCTCAGCTAAAACCTGCGGTCAGCCAAAAGCAGAGATGACTCAGCAAGTTGTCGGATGTTGGAGCACTGTAGTCCTCAATCACAACCATCAGAGTCGGGTCCAAACCATTTCTGTCACTTTTCACACAATCCTCTTTTGTGTCCGGTTCTGGTTTACTGGAGTTACCGACACCGCTTCTCCTCATACATCCAACCGTACATCTTCACCTAGCCTGGCCTGCATGTTTAACTCTGCACAGGTGCACGTGTGTACAACAAAAAAAAGCTTATAATGATTGTGTGGAAAATGTGTGTAAGAAGGTCTCCAGTTCCCCAGTAGACATCTAAACCAGTAGCTTCTGAAGCTGGGCCCTGGAGCAACCAGTAGGATCTCTTGGTGAGTGTTCCTCTCCACCAGGCTTTAAACCCTCTCTGGTGCCCTCTAGTGGATCCATCCAAAAGTCCTCCCAGCACAAATGAAAACAAAGCACAGGATGCTTGTAAAGATTTTTTATAAAGAACCTGTAACAGTTGATGAAAGTACTTCTCACATACATATTCATACATCCACAGAGTAAATGATTGCAGCATTAGCACTCTAGGGACGCTAGCAGCCTTGACTTCTTGTTGCACACAAAGGAAAAGGGAGTAAAACGTTATCGCTGTCAGAAGATCACATCGTAGTTTTGGCCTTGGATGTGTGGCACACGCGTCCGTGATGTGTGCTCTCTGGAACCCGGCCTTGTACAAACCCTCTCTAGACTGATTGTTTGATCACAGGTTAGCAGCTGCAGTTTGGCACAATAATTCTGTCCAGCGCTCAGTTTTAATAAAGATTTATTCTGTAGTGGCTGAGTAAAGAAACGTGTGCAGCTAGCTAAGTGAGCTGTGCAGAAGTCTAACTTAAAGACCAGACTGTGACGTTGTTTTACTTCCACGTCCTCTTCACTTCCTTTATTAGCTTTATTAGCTTCAGCTAACGGATGCTAGCTGCATCGGCTAAACGCATGACTTCACATTTTAACTGGAGCGAGCTGGCGTTAACCAACATTTATTACTTTTACTGTTTTAATGTTGACCTATTAGCATGGAGGTGGGCCACCTGCAGCCAGAGCCCTACAGCTTTAGCCCAGACTAGCTACTTCCACAGCAGAGTCACACCCGAGTCAGCTACGAATAGCTAAGCTAAGGGTTTGCTAGCTCCATCTCTAACCCCGCATTTCCACTGGACGTTCTCCGTTTTGTCTGAAATCTACGTCATTATAAAGCTGGTAAATAAACACGAGAGTTGATTTTGTAAGAATTGCTCTTTCAGCCGTGATACAAATGTTAGCGTTGAATTTCTGGTGTCCTTTAAAGTCCACGTGTAGGCGTGACTCGTGTGAAACCAAAGGGACGTCTTTTCTGGCTGCTTGACTCAGATCTGGAGGAGCAACCGTGTCAGCAGGACAGAAAGCTGCTCAGTGAAACCCGTCAAAAGCTTTAATAGTTCATCTAAACATTCATCGCCTCGCCTCTGAACCTCTAAAGTCACCAAAGCTAACGTGAAAACTGATTTTACGTACGGGGAACATTCGAAGGTTTCCGTTGGTCTACAGCAGCTGAGGCCCTACCTGGAGCGCGGATCGGATGCGGTGGGTTTGGCATCGACAGAACTGCTAGTGGGATCAGCCCGTGAGGAATGAGCTGGTAGAGGGACGTGTTTATCACAGGTCTGTCCTGCGGGAATGTTGTAGAGGTCTAACGGAGTCTACCTGGCCCAGTCGGCCATCATGTCGCAGCTAAAAGACCTGAGCAGCAACACACCCGAGTCACCAGTTCTGGAGTTGGACTTTCATTCTGTGTCGTTTCTAAGTTTGGAAAGTATTTAGGCACCTGTAATGCCTCTCCCTTTGTTCAGTAGTTTTCCAAAAGACTAAACAACCCGTTTGTCACAAATCCTAAATGACATGTGAGAGTGTACAACGCTGCAGTGGGGTGACTCGTGTCACCGTAGCTGTCCGAGTCCTCTCCGTACGAACAAAGTCTCTCCCGTCCGCTCCACATCTCCAACGCGCTTCGTTACGACAACATGAAAAAGATTCTTTTCATTCCTATAAAGTCCCTCGTGTTTGGGAGCCGGAGACCCCCATTGGCTCAGGTTTTTATTTTTTCACTTCGCATGAAATGACGAGTCTTTAGAAAGACATGGCACAAGAGCTCTGCCCCGGAGCCAGAAGCGTTTGATGGTTGAAGACAGGAAACTAGCTACAGTTAGACTCGGATGCATGAGACCATGGAGGTGGAGCGTCTCTCTGGACTGAATATGGAAAATGTTTCCTTTCTGCTTCTCTTGGAGCGGCTTTTCCACTTAGAAACAAGAAAACACTACACTGTTCTTTTAAAGCTGCTGCAGCAAATCGGCTAAACAAATCAGCCTAAAACGGTGTTCATGCCTCGCAGCAACGTTCTAACATAGTATAGCTTTAAATATGTTGAGGAGATTTAATAAATGGTTCTCTCGCACTTGTCTAAAATCCTCCGCCAACACCACGGCTCAGACCGAAACCAACCATCCGGTCGTCGGTCTCACCGAACCGCCGCACCTCCCTGGGTCCTCCACTCCTCACACACTCACGTGTTCAGCACCAGAACACCGCTGGTGTGAGAGGTTCTCCGCTCAATAACATCAGAGGAGGAGAAACAGCCGGCTGCTACCGCTTCAGCTTTAGCTCGAACTACCAGAGTCCCAAATAGAAAATCACCGACTGATGTCACGGACAACAAAAGACGTTTGGACCTAGAAAACTGGTGTTTAGCGAGGTCTCGCTTCCTCTGGCATGGCGTGTTTCTGGTTCCGATGGATGCGGAACCAGGGGACGTACCCGAGGGGAGGGGAGAATGTTCTGTAACCGTGTTCATGATGGAATCGAGCTTATTTGGCAGATTTGCCGTAGCAGCTTTAAAATGTGCAGTAGGAGACTGAAACTAGCATGTATGCTAACTGGAACTTAACTGCAACAAAAAGGCACCACTTATTAAGGAAATTACAAGAAATGATGATGTTTAAACATAAATCCAAACATTCATGCTCGAAATAATATTTAGAATAAAAATTCAATGTTAATTCTAAGAATAAAGTCTAAATATTTAGAATCCAATCTAAAATATTAATGATAAATAAAACGGTAATGAAACATAAACAGGCAATTCCATGAATTTCTACTGTTTTTTTAACAAAATAAGTTAAATCTAAATAGTTAAAATCCAGTCTGAATGTGTAGTCACACAGTAACGTTGACATCAAATCATAAAGGGGCGCTTTTAGACGGAATATGAAGCCAGAATTTGCTTATCAAAATAAAAGCCCGTGAGTCTGTTCATTGTGGATCATTTATAGATGTTCTTCTTAAAAACGATCCAAACAGCTGAGAGGAAGGAGGGTGCTGAGACCTCAGATAGGGGATGTCATGCTTTTATTTTGGTGAGCTACTTTTGTTTCAGCAGTCTGAAACTGTGAATGACCTAGATGCTTATTTCAAAGCTGATACGTGTCATTTCTATGTTTAGATTTATTCCTTAATGTTCAGACTCGGCTTTTATTTAAATGAAATAGTGACTAATCAGATTCAACCATTTAGAAAACCTTTTCAGTACGTCTGTCCAGCTCGTCGCTGCCGTCGCTGACTGGGTGGGGCTTAAGCTTGGTGGGCTCTTCTGGTTCAGAGACAGAAAAGGGTTGATGAGAGAGAGGCCATGACGGCTAACCTTCGGAAACGGCCCCGCCTCTTTCGTAACACGAGGTGTCCGACACAAAGCAGCATGCTTGGTAACCTAAAAGCAGACATGCGTGTGAGCGAGTCCCTGTGCCACCTGACCAGCGAGTCTGAATGTGAAACGGCTGGACTCGACTCCACCGGACAGGACGGGACCGGCTCGGCCAAGGCAGGTGAAGAGGGGGGAACCTCCTGTTTTTTGTTTGTCCAGGTCGCTGCGGGGAGCCGAGAAGACCTGGGAGTCGAGACGTCGAGGTCTCGAGGAGACAGAAGCAGAAAACTGCTTTGGAAGAGAAATCACATCTGGACCTGACTCCCATCTTCTGGTGTTCTCCAGCTTTAGCTTAGAAAGATCTCATTTTACACAGATCTTTGTTGTGACACAGCGCTGGAACAGCCACGTTCTCCGTCCCTCTGCACCCTCCTGCTGTTGGTAACAGGGTTCCCCGTGTAAAACGAGTCCATATTGCATTTTCCCGTGTTAATTTCATGTAAACATCTTAAGAGAGGGAGCTTTCTCTGATTCATCCGTTAGAGGAACTAACCCGTCGGATTCCCGTCAGACGGATCACCGGTGGGCGGAGCTTCAGGCCTCGTCACTTACAGTACTATACATAAAATGTGTGGATGCATCGATCCACTACAGCACAGTTACTCTGGGGAGTGGGAGCTCTGGCTCATCCGTGCGCTCGTTCACGTTCTGCAGCCATTTCTTACCGTTTGGAGCTCAGTCGGGGCTGTAGCTCGTGGAGATGATCCGTGTGTGTGTGTGTGTGTGTGTGTGTCTGGCATCTCTGGTCCGGTATGGAAGATTAACTAAACTGGTTTTATTCCCAACAGAAACACTGCAACTATCCAGTCGTGTTGCAGTGACGCCTCCACCGGTCGTGGAGCGAGGTCTGACGCGGGGAGAGTCTGGACCAGGAACATGAACATTTTAGCTTTAGTTCCTCATTTTGTGAAGCAAGGTCCTGTTTTAGTATTTGAGGGAAACCCTTCACGTGTGGGCGGGGCCTAGCGTAGCTTAGAGAAGAGGACGTCTGCAGATACTCGAGTTACTTTTATGTTTGTCCAGATTCAGAGTTTCCAGGTCCGCGTGTCTTTTTGCGGCATAAATCTAATTAACTGAAGCTATCGAGTCCTAATCGTTATCGCAGTCTAACCGTTGCCGAGCAACGCTCCCCGGGGAATCACAGAGCCAGAGACTAGGGGTCACCAACCAGCGAGGGGCTGCAGGAACCTGATGAAGTATCTCGTGATCCAGAGTTTCTCCCTCTGGGCTCGAGACGGATGATCTAGTTAATCCTGAACCGACAGAGAAGCCAGACAACAAACCCGTTCTGGACCCCCCCCCCCCCCCCCCCCCCCAAAAGCTCCCTCTTATCGGTCGAGGCCTATGAGGAGTTTAGTCTTCTCCTCCTCCTTCTTGCTCTCGTTCTTCAGGTCAGCGAACACCTGGGTGAAGAAGTGCGGGTCGGTGTTGATCTGAAGCATCTTGCCACTCATCCGGTTGATGATCTCCAGGCAGCGATCCCAGAAGGCTTCCTTTTCCGCTTCAACCAGGAAAGGCTTCAGAGGGTAGGAGATCTCGTTGCCCATGTAGGAGTAGGACAGGTAGAGGCAGGTGAGCAGCGACGCCTGCAGCTCACGCTCCGAGGCCACCTCGGCCGAGACAACGTCCCGGCACAGCATGTAGAGGAAGACCACGTTGGCTGGAGTGATGAAGCCCTGATCCTGCCAGCCCTGCAGCAGCAAGGAGCGGTCCACGCTGCGCAGCCACAGCACCGGATCCGTCGGGGACAGGCGCTTCAGTCTGTAACAGCGACGGCAGAGAAACTCACCAAGGCTGCGCATCAGTTCACTGGTGGAGGCCTGGTTCAGAAGGAGAGGAGACGGGTGAACAGAGGACAGACAGAACCTGAAACAGCATCGGCAGACAACAGGGTTACCTGGACAATGACACGCTTTGGCGTCCCGGCAGCAGTGGAAGGCTGGATCCCGGCTCCGATGAGGGAGTTCTTTTTGGTGATGACAGAAGCTACATTAACCAGGGTCTTGGAGGTGGGCAAGTGGGAGGAGGTAGTGGTGGCGGTGGCAGCGGGATCCTGACTGGACGAGTAGGACGAGAGGTTGGCACAGGACTGGGACTTCTTCAGCTTTGAGCTGTTGGAGGCTGAGCTGGTGGTGGTGGCCCCGTGGCCCTCGGGAGAGCTTCCTTTCCCTCCGTCTCCACCCTCTGACTGGAGCTTCTTAGAACCCTTCCTCTTGGCCGACACAGCCACGATGCGTTTCCACGGTAACACACTGATGATGGAGGGCCTTTTGAGGGACTTGGCTGCTGCTGCTGGAGCATCCTTGGCGTTCTTGCTGTTTTGAACAGCTGTGTAATGACCCACCGTGGCTGGGCCGTCCTCAAACAGAGCGGCCTTGCGGTAGCTCGGAGAGAGCGACAGCACTGTACCCATGATTTCCAGCAGAACCACGGGATGCAATCAGAAGATAGTGACTCGACTTTGGATCTGAACCCTGCAGGAACCTGAACCTGTAACAAAGAAAACCCAGAAAGCCCCGTTAGTTCAGTCACAGAAGGGAAAAAATCAACGAGAAACCTAGAAGGACCCTTCTGGAGTCAGCCCAGTTCAAGATGGCTGCCACAGCCGATCACCAACATGGCTGCCTGACTGAGTCCCTTTTACGCTCTGGTCAGCTGAGGAGACGCAGAACGGCTCCGGCTCCAGGGTGCAGTGGAACGATCGAATGTAAAACGCCTGTTGGAAGGTGTTCAGGTGTTTCACAGACGTGTGAAAGAACCATCGAGAGCTTCTGGATTTCCACTCTGATGACTCAAGTCACACAACTCAGCAACAAGTAATCTAACGTGTTAGTATTTCCAAACCAGTAATCATATTACAGTTGCTGCGTGTAACCGTTGTTGTCATTTTTCTCAGCTGAATGATATATTTGCTTCCTCCTTGGTAACCGTGGCAACACCAGCAGCAACCCACTGTGGTTAGACCAAAACTCTAACCACGGTCTCTACAAACTGAAAGATAAACTGTTAGGTCTGCATCACCCGACTAATGAGTTCAGTAGTTTCCTGTTCTGGTACATGAGGCCCGCCCCCAGAGCGATTCCTCGGGAGTTCTGCAGAAGCCCGTTAATCAGCCGGGTACGGATTCACACCGGAGCAGGAAACACAGACCTGGAGGACAACGAGCACCAGGACTGGACACGGCTGCGTTCAGGTGTGAGATGGGCTGTTGTCACCTCACAGCAACAATAAAGAAACACATCCATTCATGCAGCCAATGAGATCCTCTGATTCTCACACAGACACGGAGTTATCTCTCTGAGCGCTCCTTTTCTGTGGCCGTCTCCAAGTTTAGGTCCTCCACCACCTCTCTTACCCATGGTGTCCCACAAGGTTCTGTGCCGGGGCCTCTGCTCTTCCTCCTCTATCTGCTTCCTCTTCAGCACATCCTGAGCTCCTTCAAAGGAATCTCCTACCATCTTTATGCAGATGACATCCAACTGTACATCTCCTTTAAGCCCCATGAGATGTCTAAGCTGCAGCTGTTACACACCTGCTTAGACTCTATCAGAACCTGGATGGTGGGAGCTTTCTTCAGCTGAATGAAGATAAGACTGAGATCCTCATCTGTGCCCCAGACAAGCTGGTTCCCAAAGTCAGAGACTCTCTTGGTCAGCTTGCTTCCCACACCAAACCTTCTGTCAGGAATCTTGGCTTGACCTTTGACCCAGCTCTCACCCTGGATTCTCATGTCAGTTCTCTTGTTGGCTCTTCCTTCTTCCATCTCAGGAACGTTGCTAAGCTGAGTCCCATTCTGTCCCGCTCTGAACTTGAGACAGTTCTCCACACCTTCATCTCCTCACGCTTAGACTACTGTAACTCTCTTTTCACGTGTCTGAGCAGAACCTCCCTGAACCGTCTACAGGTGGTTCAGAACGCCTGTGCTCGGCTTCTGACCAAGTCCTCCAAACACACCCACATCACCCCGCTTCTCCTCCAGCTTCACTGGCTGCCAGTCACCTTCAGGGTTCATTTCAAGATCCTGGTTCTGGTCTATAGGGCCTTACATGGACAAGCACCATCTTACACTGGTGAGCTTCTTAGTCCCTACACCCCCAGCAGGTCCCTGAGGTCCAGTGATCAAAGCCTACTGGTTGTGCAGCACCAGGCTAAAGGTCAAAGGTGACAGATCATCTACTGCTGTGGCCCCCAGACTCTGGACCTCTCTCCCCCTGAGCCTGAGATCAGTGGACTCAGTGGTCTCCTTTAAAAAGCAGCTGAAGACTCACTTGTTCAAGCTGGCTTTTGTATGACCTTCTTCACCTCTCTCTCTTTATTCTGCTCTCCCCACCTATCCCACCTTCCTCAGGATCCACTGGTTTCCCTCTTTCCTGCTCACTCTCTCTCTTTCTCAACATTTTTTTATCACAAAAGTCTATTTTTTGCTCATTTTAAATTTATTTTTAAACATTTTCTAAATCCTTTTTTACATTTTTAAATTTTTTGTTTTTGTGAAGCGCCTCGTGATTTTTATCTTGAGAGGCGCTATAGAAATGATATTTTCTTCTTCTTCTTACCAGAGGTCCAAACATTCGCTCAAAGATGCAGAAATAAGAGAAGGTACGGCAGAGCGGAAGGGACAAATCTAATCAATCAGCTGTTTCTGTGTCACTAGTCTTTGTTCTCGGCTTCGTCTTAGAAAAACATTTAAATTTGATTTGATCTGGTGTCACAGTCGGCACGGTTACCGACTCCGGCTCACGGCTAAAGTCTCTCTGGTTCTCCTGCAGCCTGAAATAAACACTTTGGTTTTGAATAGGCCTAAATATGAACTTTAACCTGTCTGATGAATGAGTGAATGTGAGTGTGCCTTTGAAACTTTTCACATTTCTAATGTAAATAACCGGAGTGCTCCACTTTTGGACAGGGACAGTGCAGGAGCGCGAAAGCGTGAAACAGCGAGTGAATGGATGAATGACTGCAGGGTAAAGGGCTTTGGAGTCCTCTGACTCAGACATGATGAGAGAGCAGCTGCGTTATCCGTGTCAAACAGTTCTGGTCTTCGTCCTTCTGAGGATCGAAGACGATTTTCTTTGATCTTTTAGTTTTTATTTGTTTTCTTTTCGTCTTTTTTCCAGTTTGGTTTTCTGTTATTTTAGACCCACGGGGAAAATCTCACATGTTCTGTCTGCCATCCAGTCCAGGCTGCACGACCCCACAGTTACAGCAAAGGTTCCACTGAAAACAACACAACCGGACAATGTTCCGCCTTCAGTGTCTTCTCAGGGGTTACTTGTTTAAGCCTGATATTCATCTACAGGACTTCCTCCAAGAGGATTCATCAGCCAACCTCTGAAGGAAACATCCATCAGTCATCCCAGCAGGGTCGGGGGGGGGGACCTATCTCCAGCAGGATGCACCCTGGACAGGTTGCCAGGGCAACACAGAGACACGCAGAACAAATCATCACACACTCGCACACACAGTCCTGTTTTTGGACTGTGGGAGGAAACCGAAGAGCCCAGAGAGGGAGGACATGCTAACGCCACGCAGAAAGACCCCAGGCCGGGATTTGAACCGTCGACCTTCGCTCTGCATGGCAGCAGCAACGCAACGCCGCTGCGCAGCCACGAACAACACGACACTGTAACATTTGGTAACTAAAACATTTTAAAACGATGCTTTTAGAGACGAGAGCAGCTTCTCTGCTTAAACCCGAGTAGAGGAACGTGAGTCAGAACCTGTGGATGGAGACAAAACGTCTGAGGTGGAAGAGAGTCCGCCCAAGATTCATCCAGTCTTCATCAGGTTCTGACACGGTTCTGACTGGACGTCTGAAACCGTCCACCTCATGACCCGACCCCCTGGAAAACCTCCAGCTTTCTGTTGGACTTCATCGGACCTGCTCTTCAGCTCTGCTGAGGTCCCACCACAGCATTCAGGGCTGGTTCAGGTCTCTGGACCAGAGTTTGGGTCATGGTTCTGTTTCACGACCCAGATTGGTCCAAACGTCATCTGTCAGACAGGTGGACTCATGTCAGACTTTGGTCTACAGAGGAGGTCACGGTGGATCATCCAATAGGACCAGCTGTTTTCTTCCGCCGCTCGTGCCGCAGTGCATTATGGGTAAACATCGCTCTCTCGTGATTTTTCACTTTAAACTTCACAAATCAAATCTGTCACCATGTTCACTTGGCTGAATGTCCTCTGATGTTTCTGTGAGCGTTGACCTCTGACCTTTGGGTGAACCTGCTGAGACGCTGGTCGCTGTCCTAGACGTTTCTGACTCGTGAGTAAAGTTTTCGTCTGGACTGATGAACTCAAGGTTTGAACTTCAGCCCAGACTTACGGGCAGAAGCCGACACCTCCCTGAAGTCACCGCTGAGGTTTGTCCACCTGCTGCCAGCACACCTGTAGCGTCCAGGTGTGTGTGTGAGCCACTGCTCCTGCCTCGTCCCGACGCTGGTCTGACTCTGCTTTTGTCTGATAAATAATTGGATGGTGGAATAAATCTGTTTTTGTAAATTTGAGGTTAGATTTGAATGAATTTTAAATATAAGTTTTTATTTTGTCCTTAAATTAAACAACAACAACAACAATAATAATAATAATAATAATAATAATAATAATATTCATCTGACCTACGGCCGCATGTCTTGAACACTCGGGTGAAGAGAGGGGCGGAGCTGACCACTACCTGGGGGTGAGTTGGCTCAGATGGTGGGGGAGGATGCCGGTCAGACCAGGCAGATCCAAACGTATTGCGAGGGTCTGCTGGGAACATCTGGCAGAGTCTCCTGTCAGAAGGAGCTTCAATTCCCACCTCCAACAGAACTTCCAGAATGTTCCGGGGGAGGCGGGGACATTGAGTCTGAATGGACCCTGTTCCGTGCCTCCATTGTTGAGGCGGCCGACCGGAGCTGTGGTCGCAGGATCGTCTGTGCCTGTCGTGGTGCGCTACCAACACTTTCTATAGTGGGGACGGTGTGCTGCTGACCTCTACTCAGGACGTTGTGGATCGGTGGGCAGAACACTTCGAAGACCTCCTCAATCCCACCGACACGTCTTCCAGTGAGGAAGCAGTCTGGGGACTTTGGCTTGGCCTCTCAAGTCTCTGGTGCTGAGGTCACTGAGGGGGTTAAAAAGCTCCTTTGTGGCAAGGCTCCAGGGGTGGATGAGATCCACCCGGAGTTCCTTAAGGCTCTGGATGTTGTGGGGCTGTGTTGGCTGATGCGGCTCTGCAATATCGCGTGTACATCGGGGGCAGTCCCACTGGACTGGCAGACCGGGGTGGTGGTCCCCTTATTTAAAAAGGGGGACCGCAGGGTGTGTTCCAACTACAGGGGGATCACACTCCTGAGCCTTCCTGGTAAGGTCTATTCAGGGGTTCTGGAGAGGAGGGTCTGTTGGATTGTTGAACCTCAGATTC